ACATCTACCGCTGTGATCGTCACAAAAGGGGGGTGGGGGGGGGGGGGTGGAGTCATTATTTACATTAGAGATTCTCTGGTTTCTAGTCTTGTGTCTTCCAAAACAATTCCAAACCAGTTTGAAGCCTTATCTGTAAACATCACCTTGAATGGAGGCCAGATTTTAACTGTAGTCTGCTGCTATCGCCCCCCCCCCCCTACACACACACACACACAGCATCACCTGAGGCATTAACTGCCATGAAGGAATTTCTTGGTAATTTAAAATTCAAAGAGATCTTTTTGGCTGGAGATCTCAACATTGATTGGTGTAAGTCGACCCCCCTCTGTGACAAATTCAAGGAATGTTGCTTGTCTCTTAATTTAACCCAACTGATCAATTCTCCCACTAGATTAAATAAAAACCATCCTGAAAATTCCTCCATCTTAGACCTGTTTCTAACTAATATGCCTCACAAATTCCCTGGTACAGGTGTATTTGCTGATCTTCTGAGTGATCACTGTGTGACAGCGGCTTTGAGAGATATTAAACATCCACCTTCTAAGCCCAGATTAATTCAAAAAAGGGATTTGAAACGTTTTTGTGAACAGTCATTCCTCTGGGATCTGTCTCATTTTGACTGGCATCGTATTATGTTAAATGATGACGTGAACTCCGCTTGGAACTATTTCCATAATAATTTCATTTATTTCCTGAACATACATGCTCCTTTTCGTCAGTTCAGAATAAAGGGACGAGACAGCGCCTGGTTTACTCCAGAGCTAGCTGACCTCCTGCACAGGAGAGATCATCTTTGGGCCGCAGCGAGAAAATCTGACTCAGACACTGATTGGTTGAGTTTTCGACAGATGAGGAATAAATGCACAACTGCTGTCAAAGCAGCAAAACACAACTATTTCTTATCTCAGACCTCCAAAAATCTAAATGACCCTAACAGATTCTGGAAAACCATCAAATCTCTCTCAGGCACCCCCCAATCTTCTGACCTCCAATCACAACTTCTCGTTAACTCTGTTCCTGTGTCAAATAAGCACGAGATCCTGAACTGTTTCAACAAACATTTTGTTGCTTCTGGTTCTTTATTTGACACAGTTACTAATGGAAGATCAGCCACTTCACTTAATAATCAAACTTCTACAAATCAAATCCCTACTACAAGTCAATCCTCAGTTAATCACAGCTTCTCTTTTTCTCCATTCTCAGTCAGTGAGGTCAATAAACTGTTAAAAGATCTTGACCCTAAAAAAATCTGCAGGTCCAGATGAACTTCCACCTTATTTCTTAAGGCTGGCTGCTCATATCATCACAGTCCCTGTGACCCACATCTTCAATCGCTCCATAAGACAAAACTCCATCCCAGACACTTGGAAAACAGCCTTTGTTCTTCCTTTGCTGAAGGGAGGAGACCCCACCTCACTGAACAACTATCGACCAATCTCTAAACTCTGCATTTTAGCCAAGGTTCTAGAAAAACTGATAAACTCTCAAATCAAAAATTACCTGGACTCATTTAACATCTTACCTCCACATCAATCTGGTTTCAGGAAACAACACAGCACAACCACTGCTTCACTGAAGGTTCTTAATGATGTTGTTGAAGCACTGGATGCTAAGGATTATTGTGCTGCACTTTTCTTAGACCTGTCTAAAGCTTTTGACACTGTGGATCCTAACATCTTGTGTCATAAACTCTCAGAAATTGGTTTTTCAGATCACACCATTGGTTGGTTCTCTAACTATCTTTCAGACCGGAGGCAATGTGTTCAACATAATGGTACTTCCTCCAGTTATTTAACAGTCAACAATGGTGTACCACAAGGCTCAGTCTTAGGACCCACCCTCTTTACAATCTACATACATAATGTAGGTAAAAACATCCCTAATGCATCCATACATTTCTATGCGGATGACACAGTTGTTTATTGTCGAGCTAAAACTGTTGCTAAGGCTTTCCAGCTTTTGAAATCTGCATTCAACATCATCCAGACTGATTTGTTTTGCCTCAAACTTGTCCTAAATGCCGACAAAACCAAAGGGATGCTTTTTTCAAATAGGAAGTTGGTCCCAGCAGTTCTTCCTCCGATTTTATCCTCAAATGGTGTCCCCATTGAGTTTGTTGATTCCTATAAATATTTGGGTATCCTGGTCGACTCACATCTCTCTTTTAAGCTCCATGTGGAAAACTTGATAAAGAAATTGAAAGTTAAACTGGGTTTCTTTTTTAGAAATAAATCATGTTTAACCCTGAATGCTAGAAAACACCTTGTATCTGTGACTTTCCTTCCCTCAATTGATTATGGTGATATTATTTACATGAATGCTCCTACAAGAACCCTGCAGATGTTGGATGCCGTCTATCATGGTGCACTAAGATTCATAACTGGCTGTGATTATCGTACCCACCACTGCACCCTGTATTCACTGGTTAACTGGACATCATTAACTTCACGCAGACTCTCTCACTGGTATATTTTCATCTTTAAATCACTTCTTGGTCTGTTGCCTTCATACATCTCCTCCTACTTGTCTCTGCGTGAGTGCAGCTACGGAGTGCGCTCTCAGGACATTATTACCTGCAGTGTTCCCTCAGTGAGTACTGAACTAGGCAAAAGGGCCTTCTCCTACTCCGCTCCTGTTTCCTGGAATATCTTGCAAAAAGATTTGAAGCTCTCGACCTTGACCTCTCTAAGTGTCTTTAAGAATCTGTTGGACACCTGGCAGGGTCCAATGCTGACTTGTTCCTGTTTTTAGTTTTCTACATTTGTCTTGGAATCTAGCTGTTTTTTGTTTTGTTACCTTTTCCTTTTAGCCATCCTATTTGTTAAAAAAAAAACCTGTAGTATGCTTTTTTATAACTGTTTATTGTTGTTGTTGTTGTCCTTTATTGTCATCTTTCTTTGTTGAAATCAGGTCTCTCTTGTAAATGAGTCCTCGAGGCTCAATGGGATTTACCTGTATAAATAAAGGTTGATTGGTAATGTTCTGTTGTCTTGTTAGTAAAGCGTGCCAAGTTTTTATTAATCAGAAACAGATCAGCAAATCAATGTGTACATGTTTTGATGTTAAATTTTGATTCTGTTAAATAAATGACCGCATTTATTCAGATGGGTCAAAGAAAAATTGGCGTCTCATGTCACTGATTAAACAATCCTCACAGTTATCTCGGTCACATGGTATTAATTTAACTCGAAAAAGAAAGAATCCGTTGTATTTAAATAATTAATATTCTTTGTGAATGAACTAGCTTTAAGAATAATTAATTAGTAGTGAAGCTACAGAAAAGCTGTCCTGCTTCACTACACTCTGTAGTAAAATATTGTGATCAACTGTATCAAATGCAGCACTGAGGTCTAACAGTAGCTTGTCTGAGGCCATGAGAATATCATTAGTGACTTTTATTAGTGCTGTTTCTGTGCTATGATGAGCTCTAAATCCTGACTGAAACTCTTCAAACAGATTATTTATTTGTAGATGTTTACGCAACTGACCTGCAACTATCTTCTCTAGAATTTTCTATCTATCATTAGATCATTAGATAAATATATTTTACTACATTGTTACAAATTTTGTAATTATAGGATAAAACAACTGAGAAACAAAATATGACTTCATAAATGTTAATGTTGCTTTAAAATAAAAATTTATTACAAAATAATTTAAAAAAATGAATTCCGACTTCTTAAGTCATGATCATTTTGTCCATTAATCCATGGAGATTTTTTTGACACTGTGCTTGACCAGTGTTTGTTTTTCTCCAGGTGGGTGACACATGTCTGCATGTGGCAGCTCGCTACAACCATGTGGCCGTGGTCCAGGTCCTTCTCAGAACCTTCTGCTCAGTCTCTGAGAAGAACATGGTAAGTCTTTCATTTTATTGGAGCAGTGATGGCTTTATTTTCAGTTCTGCCAGTGTGCTCACAATTTAACAATTTTCTCAAAAACAGTTTGTAAATTGGGTGCATTTGTTTTTATAAATACTGTAGTTTAACAAGGTTGAGTCAGG